TTCCCCCCCCCCCCCCCCCATTTTTTTCAGTTATTAAATTGGCTTGTTAAGTGTGTGATTATTGTTATTGTTTATATTATGATTAGATAGTCCGTATAATGTGGACATTTCCTTCATTCTCGGCTTTATCAAATATATTTTAATTTTATGCTCCTAAAACTGAAAAATTAATCCTATCAAAATATTTCAACTAGAAACAGTGGAGTTTGCAGATGTCCGCACGATGTCACTATTCTTTCATTTTACACGAGAATTTTCCTGACTCCACTAAGCTCCGCCTCATTTTGTAGCTTCCGGAGCAGAGATGCTTTGTTCAGAATTCACCATTGTGTCTGGAAGCTGCTGTAGTGCGTGATTTCGTTTGAACATTTCCTCAGATACTATGCTGTCGGGATTTTATGATTTTGTCAAATTCAGAAGATTTAGAGACAATGGCATCCAAAGGACAATCAAGATTTCGGGGTTGGATTTCTGTGTACTTTCTGTGTTGGCTTTGGAATATAGCGGGCGGACAGCTGGTGTATTCAGTGTCGGAGGAAGCTAACACAGGCACTACAGTTGGGAATTTGGTGAAGGATTTTAATCTGAATATTCAGGACCTTGAGGTTCGAGGGTTTCATATTGTTCCGGGACCGAACAAGAGGTATTTCGATGTTAATACTGAAACTGGAATTCTCCATGTCAGAGAGAGAGTTGATCGAGAAGAGATTTGCGAGCAGAATATTAAATGTTCTCTGCCTTTAGAAGCCATGATTAGCTCACCATTGAATATTTACCGATTTGAAATAAATGTTGTTGATATTAATGACAATGCACCAGTATTTCGGACATCAATAACAAATTTGAATGTCAGTGAATCAGCTTTTCCAGGGGAGAGGTTTCCGTTAAACAGAGCATTTGATGCTGATGTTGGAGTTCATTCGGTAAAGAACTACAAACTGAGTCCGAATGAGCATTTTTCTCTGGATGTTCAGAGCGTAGGAGAGCGGAGTTTGTCGGCTGAATTGGTGCTACAGAAAGCATTAGATCGAGAGAAAGAGCCTGTTATCCAATTCACACTGACCGCTATATTCAAATTAATTTGTGTGTGTGTGTTTGTGTGTGTGTTTGTGTGTGTGTGTGTGTGTGTGTGTGTGTGTATGAGTACTTGAACATTTCCAGGACATTTTAACAATACAGTAATAATATTGATAGCTCTGATCATTTTGGAAACAGTATAATCGTGATGAAATTGTCCGGCCATTTTATATCTGTAATAACAATGCCTATGTAAACGAATTCTGATAAAAACTTTCAAACGGTTAAAAAATAAATGTTTTTAATAAAAAAAAAAAAAAAAAAAAAAAGTGCCATTAGATTATTTAAATATTTACTTAAAATCACAGGGGGTACTTTAAGTAAATAATTTAAGCCAAAGGTATGGAAGCCTGAATATTACAATATATTAACTCATAATTATGAGAAGGTTTCTCATTACTATGACATAGTAAGTCGTTATTATGAGAAAGTTTCTCAATATAATGAGAAAGTTAGTCATAATTATGAGAAAGTATCTTATTATTATGACTTAAAGAATTATATATTTTTTCTCAAAGTGGCGGGAACGGGCTTCCATACAAAGGGGTTTGGCTGACCAAAAAAAAAAAAAAAAAACTTTAACAAACCCTGCCCTAACATAAGTAATATAAGTCCGTTTCAGGTCCTCTAAACCTGTCTTGTACTTTTTTCCCCCCAGTTATTAAATTGGCTTGTTAAGTGTGTGAGTTCAATGTCACTGTTCTGATTATAGCCAGTATAATCTGGACACTCAACGATACTTCCTCCATTTTAGGCATTATCAAATGTATTTTAATTTTATGGTCCTATAACCGAAGGCTTAAACATATCAAAATATTTTATTTAGAAACGGTGCAGTTTGAAGATGTCCGCACGATGTCACTAGTCTTTAATTTTATACGAGAATTTTCCTGACTCCACTAAGGTCCGCCTCATTTTGCAGCTTCCGGAGCAGAGAGGCTTTGTTCAGAATTCACCATTGTGTCTGGAAGCTGCTGTAGTGCGTGATTTCGTTTGAACATTTCCTCAGATACTATGATGTCAGGATTTTATGATTTTGTCAAATTCAGAAGATACAGAGGCAATGGCATCCAAAGGACAATCAAGATTTCGGGTTTGGATTTCTGTGTACTTTCTGTGTTGGCTTTGGAATATAGCGGGCGGACAGCTGGTGTATTCAGTGTCGGAGGAAGCTAACACAGGCACTACAGTTGGGAATTTGGTGAAGGATTTTAATCTGAATATTCAGGACCTTGAGGTTCGAGGGTTTCATATTGTTCCGGGACCGAACAAGAGGTATTTCGACGTTAATACTAAAACTGGAATTCTCCATGTCAGAGAGAGAGTTGATCGAGAAGAGATTTGCGAGCAGAATATTAAATGTTCTCTGCCTTTAGAAACCATGATTAGCTCACCATTGAATATTTACCGATTTGAAATAAATGTTGTTGACATTAATGATAATGCACCCGTATTTCGGACATCAGTCACACATCTGAATATTACCGAATCAACTATTTCAGGGGAGAGATTTCCATTGCAAAGCGCGTTTGACGCAGATGTGGGCAGTAACTCCTTAAAGAGCTACAAGCTGAGTCCGAACGAACACTTCTCTCTGGATGTACAGAGCGGAAGAGATCAGAGTGTGTCTGCTGAATTAGTATTGCAGAAAGCTTTAGATCGAGAAAAACAAGCTGTAATTCATCTTACACTGACCGCTGTAGACGGAGGAAAACCTCCAAAATCTGGTACAACAGAAATTATAGTTAACGTTGTTGATATTAACGATAATATTCCTGTTTTCAGTAAGTCTTTGTACAAAGCTAAAATTACTGAGAATGCAGCGCCTGGTGCTCATGTGATAACGGTTCAAGCTGTTGATTTAGATGACGGCGTAAACGGTGAGATAATGTATGCAATTGTCAACCACAACAATGATAAATATGTAGATGCATTTTTGATAAATCCAGAAACAGGTGAAATTACTGTAAAAATGTATGTAGATTATGAGCAGAAGAATGCAATTGAACTTCGAGTACAAGCAAAAGATAAAAGTAATAACCCGAGAGGAGCACACTGTAAAGTACTGGTCGAGGTCGAGGATGTCAATGACAACATCCCACGCCCCGATGATCACCACTCACCCTGACGGGAGCTGGTCTTACTCCAAATCTACTCAGCAGTATGACGTGTGTTTTAGCTCCGACACACTGAAGAGTGATGTAGTGGTTTTCCCTGTGCCATTTCCGCCTGCAGATGCAGAACTGATCAGTATTAATGGAGGAGACACTTTTACCAGAACACAAACACTTCCTAATAAAGAAAAGGTAAGATATAACATATAAAGCATTTTTTAACACAATTGTCAAATGCGTAAAATAAAAAAAATATCTTAAAACAAATGTTTTTGTCATATTTCTAAAATGTACAGATAATGAGAAAAGTAATGTTTTAACTGATATTGTCATATTACAGTTTTCTTTTCGAAGCCACTTGGTGTCAGTATTGAAGTGTTTTGCAACTTTTGTGCGCGCCCACATTGGCTCATCCTCAATCTGCGTTGAGCGCGCGCTCATGCGCTTTGTTCTGTTTCGTTTTTATGGCTGTAAGCATTGAAACGAGTTGGCATATAGGATAATTTAACCAAAGAATGGAACATCTTTTATTAATATTTACTAAATAGATGCGCAATGGCTCGTATAATTCTTCTTGGTGGGACCGTTTTTTGTCTGGTTTTGCTGCGCTTGCTGTCAATAGCTTCAGCCCAGATCGCATATTCCATTTCAGAGGAGGTGAACACGGGGACGTTTGTTGGAAATATCGCAAAGGATCTTAATTTGAATGTTCAAGAACTGGAATCACGCGGATTTCATATCCCCGCAGTTTTGGGAAGGACATATTTTGAGGTTAATTTGAAAACCGGTGTTCTGTTTGTCAGCGAAAGGATCGACAGGGAGGAATTTTGTCCAGCCTCACCGCGATGTTCAGTGAATTTAGAAGCCATTGTTGATAATCCGTTAAACCTGTTTCGCATTGAGATAAACATTTTAGACATTAATGACAATGCTCCGTCGTTTCGTATGAATTCTAAGCAATTTAATATTTCAGAATTGTCCTTTGTTGGAGACCGATTTCAGTTGCCTAGAGCGTCGGACCCTGATGTTGGCGCGAACTCGGTTAAAAACTACAAGCTGAGTCCAAACGAGCACTTTTCTCTGGATGTACAAAGCGGAGGAGAGCAGAGTGTCTCGTCTGAGTTAGTACTGCAGAAAGCTCTAGATCGAGAAAAACAGTTTGTGATCCAGCTCACACTGACTGCTGTAGACGGAGGAAAACCTCCCAAATCAGGTACAATGCAGATAGTCATAAATGTGCAAGATGTGAATGATAACGCACCCGTGTTTGGTAAAGCTCTTTACAAAGTGCGACTTGTTGAAAATGCACCAGTGGGAACATTAGTCATACATCTAAATGCCAGTGATTTAGATGAGGGTGTGAATAGTGAAATTATTTATTCTTTAGTGCCCCAAGACAGCGATGACAAAGCAAACAGCCTTTTTAAAATGGACTCTTCCACCGGCGAGATTTCAGTGCAGGGCAGTGTGGATTTTGAGCAACACAATGCATACGAGATTCATGCTCAGGCTAAAGACAAAGGGTCGAGTCCGCGATCCGCGCACTGTAAAATATTAGTAGAGGTTTTAGATATAAACGACAATGAGCCAGAAATATCATTAATGTCACAAGTGAACATAGTAAGGGAGGATGCTAAAAAAGAAACAACGGTTGCTTTGATAACGATATCGGACAAAGACTCGGGAAAGAATGGGAATACGCATGGGTACGTGGTAGGTGATGTTCCTTTTAAATTACAGTCGTCGTATAAAAACTATTATTCTCTTGTAGTGGATGGGCCGTTGAATAGAGAGCATGTTGATCGATATAATGTCACAATCATGGCGTCAGATGAAGGGACTCCGCCTCTTTCTGCCACTCGTGTTTTTACAGTATATGTATCTGATGTTAATGACAATCCTCCACGTTTCCCAAATCCTGTCATAAATATCTTTGTAAAAGAAAATGGCCCTAAAGGCCAAATCATTTACACTATTTCAGCTGTTGATCCAGATTTAGATGAAAATTCCAAAATTACTTATGGATTATTGGAACCACTTCATAAATCTGGAAATTCATATTCTGCTGTTAGTATAAACCCTGATAGTGGGGATATACACAGTTTACAGTCATTTGACTATGAGGAGACAAAAACGTTTGAGTATAAAATTCAGGCCACAGACTCTGGTGTTCCTCCGCTCAGCAGTAACGTGACTGTCAATGTTTTTATCCTGGATGAGAATGACAACAGTCCCGGGATTCTCGCGCCCTATTCCGAGCTCGGTTCCGTTAACACAGAGAACATTCCCTATTCTGCTGATGCGGGCTACTTTGTGGCCAAGATCAGGGCTGTAGATGCAGATTCTGGTTACAATGCGCTGCTGTCTTACCACATCTCTGAACCCAAAGGAAACAATCTGTTCCGAATCGGAACCAGCAGCGGGGAGATCAGGACTAAGAGGAGAATGAGTGACAATGACCTGAAAACTCACCCGCTGGTCATTTTGGTTTGTGATAACGGAGAGCCCTCACTGTCAGCGACTGTGTCTATTGATGTTGTGGTTGTTGAAAGCGCAGGTGACGTCAAGACTCCATTCAGACACGCGCCGATAAAGGAGGAGAGTTTCTCGGATTTAAATCTGTATTTGCTGATCGCCATTGTGTGCGTGTCCGTCATCTTTTTACTGAGTCTCATCAGTTTGCTAGCTGTAAAATGCCACAGGACAGACAGGAGTTTGGGCAGGTACAGCGCCCCGATGATCACCACACACCCTGACGGGAGCTGGTCTTACTCCAAATCTACTCAGCAGTATGACGTGTGTTTTAGCTCCGACACACTGAAGAGTGACGTAGTGGTTTTCCCTGCGCCATTTCCGCCTGCAGATGCAGAACTGATCAGTATTAATGGAGGAGACACTTTTACCAGAACACAAACACTTCCTTATAAAGAAAAGGTAAGCCTTTCTAGGGGGCCTCTATTTGTCCAGTTAAAATATCATTTTTAGCCTGAAGTTCCTATGTGTGCTTTTACATAGTTCCAAGTCTTGTATTGAGTTCCTGACACCTCTGCTGATTCATGGGCCTTTTTTAGATTGCCTGAGACTGAGAGCTCTCCATGGTGCTGAAACACACTGATAAGCATAGTTTGAATCTGTCCAGCAGCAGTGTGCTGAATTGAGCAGTAATTTTTTTATGGTGCCTATATGGAATACCAAATTTTATGTTTGGCCAAACTATACAGATCAGTTTCAAGGGTTTTTCCTCATATTTGCAGCTGTTATTTTATTGTTATTTTTTTCTTTATTGCTTTTTCCCGCAGTTCTGGACACTTGTATTATGCAGAGATTACTACGTTTGTTTCTAGGTCTGAACATGAGTCAGACCGCTGTCACGTGGAGCGGATTTGTCGCTGCCTGGGTCATGTTTGTTAAGGAGTCCATGCCCGGCTTCTGTGCTCCCCTTGGATGATCTCTGGCACATAAACGGCAAAAAAGGATGCTACTACTGGGCTTAAATTTCTATCTTACTGAACACATGCCTTTTCCCTATTTTTTAGCTTTTTTTAATTTTCTGCAGGCAGTACTCGTTACTGGTGGTGCTCCTTTTCAACCTCTTTGTGTGCCTTTCAATGATTTTAGAAGCTATTTCCCAATTGAATTTTCATTTAAATTCACTTCGTAAACAGGGTTCAGTAGATTAGAATTTTAACTGCAGTCTATCCACACATTGTCTCTCCTTGCAGCTGAGGCCTCTCAGCAGGGTGGGAGCAATACAGATCATTTCTACAGCTTGTAATTTGGAGAAGGGCTGTCTTATATCCCTATATATAGTGCTGTCTCATTCGCAAATTAAACCTGTATTTCATTTTTTTGCATGGTTTGATATTGTTATTGGCCAGTTGGATGCTTTCTCTCTCTATCATCCCTATGCTTTTAGATCAAGCCGGTTGTGTTTGTCTCTGCTGTACACTTTAGTGGATTGCATCAGTTATATGCATGAGGATGATTTAGATGGTTTCTAAGCAACATATTAGTGTTCTACCTCTGGTCATACTGTGGTTAAAAAAAGAAGTATGTATGTGTATATGTATGTGTGTGTGTATATATATATATATATATATATATTAATTTTAATTTTACTGTATATATTACTGTAATATATACAGTAGATATCTTAATGTTATCTGTTCTGCTGTTTTACAGTACACCTGCAGGTTTGTGCTTTGCTGCGTTTTAAGCAGAACCACACAAAACAGAATTCAGCTCTATTATTGTCTCTGCACCGGCTGAGATTTTCCTTCAAAGCAGATGCATGTTGCCTGTGTGGGAGAACGAGAGGGGGATGGGAGAGAGAAAAAGAGGGATAGAGAAAGGGAGGAGAGTGGGGGTGTTGAGGAAGGAGAGATGGGATAAAAGGTAGAGGGAAAAATCCAAAGAGAGGGAGAGAGATGGGACATGTAATGGGGGAGGGGCCGGTAATTTTCCGTTCTGCGCTGCAGGAGCCCATGGTTTGCAGTCTGAGCTCATAGTTCTGACATCATCACTGTCAATCACACCGAAGCCCCACCCTGTGCTCCAGTTCTGCTGAGGACAAGAGTCACTGTGACAACAACCGCAGACACAGTCATGCTCTTTATAGAGTGAGTGGTATATGTGTGTGTTTGTGATAGTTTGCTTATATGAGCAGAGGTTGTTCATTTGATATTTGTTGACCAGCAGTATGAATAAGAGTGTCAACAGCAAAGGTTTCATTACAGTCCTGCACTGACTCTGGCTTGTACAGAGCATTAAATTGATTTCATAAGCACATTACTAAGATACAGTTCAACTAATTGCTTTACATTTTAGTAATGTGCCTTAATGCAAAGAGGTCCACTCGTATGAAGAGAAACTCAATTCAACATCAGTTGTGCTGCAGGATAGATTTATTATTCACAATATATTATTTTGCAGTGAAATAATAATAAAAAAATTTTTCAAGACCATGTCATTAGAACATTTTCCTTCCAATTCGTCCTTGTATCATGACTTGCAA